ATCATACAGGGGGTGGGGGTGGGGGTGGTCCCTCATGCCCTCCTTAGATTCGCTATTGTGTGTGTATTAATATATGTAAATTTCAGTGGGGGCAACCACCTATGAAAGTTATCAGAGAAATGTTTGATGCTCTCAAATTAGGAGGAAAGTGAAAAGTAGGGCTCATGGATGAGAGACATTTGTTGATTCAATAAACCATAGCCAAAGACTACACTCGGATTTTCTCCAAAAAATATTTTAACATTGCAGGCAAATCAATGAAGTTACTTAAGTGATCTGCTAATGCTGACCTCAATCATAAATCTTCTACTGTACCAGTATGGTTCAGTCTACCTGGTCTCAAGCTGCACTTTTTTCATCATCTGGTTCTTTACTCTATTGGGGCCATACTTGGGGACCCTATGCAGTTAGGTCTACTAGCTTTCAACCTAATCAAACTTTGTGTAGCCAGAATAGTCGTGGAAAGAGATATTACTTTACCTGATGTTACTGAAGTCTGGTTGGGCACAACTCACACTAGATATTGACAATAAATTGTCATGTAACATAGATTCTTTATTGTTCTCATTGTAAGATGTTTGAGCATAATCTTGATAAATGTCATAAGCTTCATCCTAATTTGAAATCTAAAGATCAAGTAAATAAGGATGGATCTAACCCCACAGCTCTGGACGTATCTATTCCACCTGGAGAGAAAACTACCACTAGACAGGATTTGATATCTGACTTAATTGCCCCTGTGGACCCCTCTGAAAATACTGTATTTGTGAATGATATGAAGCTGGTTGGCTCTGAGCAACCTACACTTTCAAACCATATTGAAAACAACACTGAAGGATCCCTACTGATATGGACTGATAATAAGGAGAACCTTGTAGCTACCCATCTTCAAGAAGTATCAGGGGTAGAGGCGATAACTCATACCTCACATATACTAGAACCTATTGTGGGTACAACTTTTAACAATCTTTCTACTACAACACTACTACCTCATCCGAATGAGCAACACAATCTTCGGATGCGGAATGACAGGTCTACACTTTCAGGAGGAAAAAGAAGAATGAAGACCTACTTGAGCTAAGGATTTTAATGGATGTTACTTTGGTTACTTCGAGCAATGGTACACATCTCACCAATTTATTAGCTGGTTCCCTTCCGAGAACTAGAGACAGAGGCAGAACTAAATTGGGTCGTCCCAATTGATCTTATCTTTACTATCTATTTTTGGGGTTTTTTTTTTGTGTGTGTTGTATCGTGTGAGTTGGGTGCCTATTTGGGCCCACTCATACAACCTATCTGTACCATTTTCTTTTTAATATATATTTGCCCTTGGGCTTCTAATAGGAAAGATACATAAATGTTGTATGAGAGGTTCCAATAGAGGAACCCTACCCATACGATACAACACACATAAACACCCCAAAAGAGAAAAGATACAGGGAAACCTAAAAAAAGGAAAGATACTAAAATCACAAAAAAGAAGTAGCTAGGGACGAGCCAGTTTAGTCCTGACTCTGCCTCTAGTTCTAGGGCGAGCTCCAGATAACAAATTGTTAAGTGCCGAGTCATTTTCTGAAATAACCAAATTATCATCCATTGGGTTCCCGAGTTGAAGTTTACCTCCGATCTTCTTCTTCCTCCTTGAATAGTCCTGCCATTCCTTCTTAGAAGACTGACTCATCTGATCATTGTGTTGGTAAACAGAATGTTGAGCAGATAAAAACTGATGAGTACCAAAAGAAGGATTATCAACTGTTGCAACATACTAGACACTAAAAGAGTGATAGATAGATATGATATAGCCTTTGAGTTAAATCTTATAGCTACGAGCCAAACAAGTGAAGGTTAGATAGATATGATGAACAACATACTAGACACTAAAAGAGTGTTCCTAGGGTATGAGATCTTCACAGTGCAATGTTTTGGGAATTATTTTTCATAAAACGGTCAATCAAACAACAAAGTTCTAGTTTACTTCATTTTGTGCCTCCAAGGTGGGCTTCAGGCTATTAAGAATTCTTGGCTTCACCTCTGTTGACCTATGCGTATATGCCACAAGATAATATAAATCAGATGTATAATAAAAATCAAATTTAATGACGATCATTAAGTACATCATCATACAAAATTGATTCAAAATGCCTTAATTCTTATCAAAATTGATCTAACCTCATTTGTTTTACTAAAGCTAATCATGTCAAGGTGATTAAAAGGCTCTCAATGCCCAAAAAGGACCATCACAATTAATTGATTGAACACAACCTAAAAGGGGGCAACGAATGCGATGTCATGCAAGCCCAACCCAAAATACGCCATTCAAATCAAATTCACTAAAGCCATATACAACTCATGACTCATTCCTCTTTAAATAAACAAGCTAAGCCGATAAGATCCAAAATAAAGAAAATAAATCCATTCAAAATGCCTTGATAATGGTCAATAAGAGGGGATACTACTATCAAAATGCCCTTAAATCCTAGCAAAAAATACTTCAGATTTAAATACTAATAAAACAAACAAAGTTACCAAATCTAACTATGATGAAGAGAAACCTACAACTTAAAGCTAAAAAACAACATTGCAATCACACCACAAAATAGTTAATTTATGGTGATGGAATTTAAGTTTACGGTAAGCTCATAAGGACCCATTGTTGTATCGGATTTATTTTTATGTTCACTCTAGTAACGACATGATATATGTTATCTAATCGTATGTTTTGTTGTCAAATGACATCATAAAAAAAGTTGTCATGTTTAGGCTATCTGGCAGGGTGGATTGCTGCAAAGTAGCACTATTAAATTATGATCATGGCTTGAGTCGACAAGTTCCTCGATGTCCTAAATCTCGAGGGTGAATTATTGAGTGCACTTGATAGGGCTCAAAGGTTTATATTAAATAATATTGCCTAGAAATTTTCACTAAGAAATACATCCGCCATAGGTCTACATGTTGTCGTTGAACGAAGTATCACATATCTACTTTTAAGGACCTTCTTTCGGGTTGGGTTGCCTATTTCCTCTCATTAAACCAATGTTCACAACAGTCTGGGTGGACAAAAATGCATGATCTTGAACAAATTTGTCATCATTTTTCTCACTAATTCATCCATGTTAAAAGCGATAATGTTTGTATTCTAGCATCAAAATTGCTACGATTATATGCTAAGCATTCAATGTCTAATAGTTAGAGTTAATTGAAAACCCTCTATTGTCAACAAGATAAGTAATTAACTATAGTATATTGTGCTTATGCTAAACCTCTAACCATATCTTAATGTCTTCATAAAATAGAGGTGAAATATCTGGTAGCTATGAATATTTCTTCTCCTCCTCAATACCAAACTGTTCCCCTTTCTCTAATTTTCTCAAAATTCTTGACTTCATCTTCAGCCTCCTGGACTTTGGCATGAACATTTCCAAAAGTATCCCAGCTCCAACATCCTTATGCTAAACCTCTAACCATATCTTAATGTCTTCGTAAAATAGAGGTGAAATATCTGGTTACTATCTTATCTGAAATCCAATGTATTCTGCAGAAAATTTAATGCATAACCATGATCTCTCTTAGGAGATTTAGTGCAAATTTCTAAAGATAAATGCCTAAATCTTGTCAGTTATTAATCATATTAACGCAAACACCTCGATCCAATTTCACTTCGAATTATTGGATTAATGATGGAATTTTGTCATCGACCTTGATGCCCTTAATTCTTATCCTTTTTCTTGTTCTTGCCTATTCCTATGATAGTCACTATTTACTTGCTGAGTTATTGGCTTGGTTGCATATGAAAGTGGGGGATTGTATGTAATCCTAATTTTATGCATCATAAGAGAAGAAAAAGTGGCAGGAAATTCTTTGAGTTATCTGTTGGATTTGATAATTTTTAGTCAATTTTGTTCATATTTGAGTGAATTCGAATGATCTTTTAGAAGACATTGGATATTTAGAGAATACAATATTCATATATTTCTCTAACAGGGATTTTATGATCTTGTTTGAGGTTTCTCATAGGCATAAGCCCTTATGATTGATTTTTTCATCTGATTACTTGAAAGAACTTTTGATTAAGGCTAGTCTATAAGTTCTATGATGATTTTCTATGGTAGGAACAAATTGAATTTGTCAAATGCATTGGAATTGGCTTAGAGCAAATGTCAAAAGGAATGTAAAAGTGGTTCAAGATCCCATGGTTATGTTCTCATGGATCATGGTTTCCTAATTTAATTGAGTTAGTCACCTTTACATAATTGAAGGATACTTATTCAAAAACCACGAGTTGTATCTTCCAAGTGATTCTCGTACCTAGGAAAATTTTGCTCATGGAGTCAATTTTAAGCTGGTCCTACTTATTCGGTTATGCTTTATCAAGTGTGCCTTACGGTTCACAATTAATACACTTAGCTTTTGAGAACTTTTGGGTTAGGTTATCACAGTAGTATAATTATACCATTGAAATCAGGCTAACAACCTAGTAAGAGGGCCCGTGCCACATACTTACTACATGAGATTTTTGTTTGTGATCATATGGATGTACTTAATATAATGCTAGCACTTGTGAGCTTTTGTTGAACTTGCATCTTGACAAATGATGTGTAGAGTTCAAAAAGGGCATAAATGTGATGATCATTTCTAGTTATGATTGGAGAGTGCTATACATATTATAAGATTGATATGGCTAAAAATGCCCATCTTTGTAATTGGGAGCTTGAGTTTAAGAATCAATCCCCCTCCATACTCGGATATTCAGATAATCAAATCTATGATTATGGAAGAAATTCTGCTTTTGGAGCTGAGTCTTTTGTTAGGTTGATATCCCCTGTCCATGAATAAGTCTTTTGAATCGTTTGGAATTTTTCTTCGATTTAAATTACCAAGGCTTCTAGCTTTTAGAATTGGAGAAGTTTTGGAAGACCAACTCAGCCGTCAACCATGTTGAATGGGGGCCTACCTCGTAGGATCACCTTTTGTTTTGTTGGAAAGGAAAATTGATGGTAGCTTTGAGAGCCCAACGTTGTCTTCTCTCTTGGTTCTATGCTATTGAACTAGCCATTCTTTCATTTTTCAGCTTGACCCAGTGAACCTTTGTGAGCTTGTGGGTTTGTCTTGCATGGCCTTTAAAGTTTTCTAACCCGACAGATTGGTTCATCCCCAATGTCTTCGCTTTTTGAGGATTTGTGATTTGTGTGGGCGTTGAACTCTTTGATTATGTTCTTCTGATAATCTCACTTGCCATCGAGTTCTTGAAACCTTCATTTTCTTGATTTGCAGTGAAGAGCTTTAAATTTTTTTTTAAGACCACTGGTTAGGATATGTTGCATCCATCATTGAGGTCAAACCTGAAACCTTTCACTCATTTTATGATTCTCAACATTGATAACTGACTTTATTGTGAATCACTCATGCTATGATATATAATAATCATACCTATCATAAGGGTAAAAGACTTATATGAGCTTGTCTTGGCTTGCCGAATATAACTTAATTTGTGTATTACAGGTCCAAAGAATATAGCTTGGATTTAATATTGACGGTCTGCAACTAATGCATTAACTGCTTCATTCTTGTTTAATCTACTATTTCTCTTACCGTGCTTTGCGTTTTGAACATCCCAAAAATGCAGTTCATTTTGGTTGGCTGAGATTGTTTGCATGAAAATCTGAATGAATTGCTTCTTGAAATCACTGTATCGTATTTCTTGAATGACAATTAGAGGTTCGAATACATCTTGCCATCTTAGCATTGGTGTCTTGATGATACTGTTGTACAGGAGCTAGATGAATATGATAACTTTTACAAAGGAAACATGGAGAAACATGGATATTCCAGCATTTATGTTCAGAGAACTGGGCAGAAACGTGATGGTTGTGGAATTTTTTACAAGCATAAAAGGTATGTTTACTCTTATTCTGTGCAATATAGTATGCTTATCAACCTTTGAAATTCTAAGGCAAAAAATCCAAGTTTCGTCTCTTTCATGGATTTATCCTCATCTTAAAATCTTAACCTCTGTTTAAAAAGGCGTTAGTGGGACTCACCCCAGAGCGAGGCGTATGCCCTCTCGCCCCAAGCCCATGAGGTTCAGGAACGCTCGGAATGCAATTTGTGCCTTAGGGGTGAACACCCATCTATCAATCAAATAAAAAGGGGAAAAAATCCCTAATTCTGCATACTTACCTAGTTTACGTCGATTCAAGTTCTCCCCCAAGCAGTCTATCTCTCACTCCCTTTGCTTTCCCCCTTGCACGCAGAGTCATTGAAGACTCCACTGCCGTTTGCTTTGTCCATCTCATAGCAGGCGATTGCGTCGTCTGCTTTGTCCCCCACGAAGGAGTGTCTACTTTGTCGTGCACGCATGCGATCCCTTCATCATAGGAATTATGCTTCGTCTCTTCTGCAGCAGGTGACCTCCCCCGGCTTCTTCTGCGACAGAAAAGTAGAAGATCACGCTTGCATCCTTCACCCACAATTCTTGCTTCTTTCCCGCACCCATGTCGCTCCCTCGCAGGCTCAACCCATTTCATTTAATTAGGAGTTTTATTGTTTTACATTGTAGCTACAGTGAGTTTACTGTAGCTACAATAATCGCAAAATTTTTTCTCATGTTAAAAATTGCTAGAAAACACTCAAGCTACACTAAATTATTGTTTTGTCAGTTTTTTTCATGTTTACAATTTGCTAGAGGTGGATTTGATCTGATTTTTTTAATTTTAATGGGTAAGGTTAGTTATTAATTTGTAATAGAAGGGGGATGATTGTGTGATCGGTAATAGTCGCACTAGCAAGGAATTTGCATGGCAATATATAACAAACATATCTACTGAAAAATATTTCAGATGTAAGTTTTGCAATCAAGTATGTAGAGGAACAATAACAAGATGAAACAACTTCTTGCCAGCACACACAAGAGCGTTAAACCATGCATTAATGCCCTAACTGAGGTTTAAGAGATGCAAGAAAGCATCAAAAGTCAAAGCACAATGTGAAAATATATTAAATGACATTAGAAGCATGTAACAAATGTTGGTGAATGCTAATATGCTACCAATTCATCATTATTTGACTTCTTCCAGAGACCACCTAGAGTTAGAGGTCAAATGGATTTTTTCACCACAACACAATCAAGAAATTGTACTCTAAATTTCAAGTGGAAAAAAGATGAAAACAAAGAAGCATGTTGGGCAATTCGTAGATTCTAACACTCAGCCGGATTGACGTTTAATAGTGCCAATGACACATTGTATGTCTATGTTTGAAGCAGTTACTAGTTTTGAATCTTGTTTTACTCCGCCTACAATGCATGAATTGCGAACTTGGATACTCAAAGATGAGATTGCTATAATCAATAAGATGTTAAAGGAGCATAGGAAGACATGAAGTAAATATGGGTGCTCGATTATGTTAGATAGCTGTACAAATTAAAAAAAGAAAAACTTTGATTAATTTTTTGTGAACAGTCTTGCTGAAATTTTTTTCTTAAAGATGTGGATGCTTCTAATGCTATAAAAAGTGGTAAGTTACTATTCACTTATTTAGATGGCGTGATTGAGGAAGTGAGAGAAAAATGTCGTGCAAATTATAACAAATAATGAGTCAAATTATGTGAATGCGGTAAAAAGATAATGGAGAAAATACAATATATTTATTGACCACCTTGTGCAACACATTGTATTGACCTAATGTTAGAAGATATTGGAAAGTTGAAGATTCACGAAAGCACTCTTGTAAAAACAAAGCAATTTATTAAATTCATTTATGGGCACACATATGTTCTTGGCTTGATGAGATCTTTTAAAAAGTAGAGGGAACTCTTCTGTGAAACCATCACACGGTTTGCTACGACATATTTGACCCTTCACGAAAGCACTATTGTGAAAGCAAAGCAAGTTATTAAATTTATTTATGGGCACACATGTATTCTTGGCTTGATGAGATCTTTTAAAAAGTAGAGGGAACTCTTTGGTCAAACCATCACACGGTTTACTGCGACTTATTTGACCCTTCATAGCGTTAACATGAAGAAGTAAATACTTCAAACAATGTTCTCCTCAGATGTTTGGTGTTCTAGTCAATGGTCAAAGAAGACCAAAGGTATAAAAGCTCAAGCTATTATTTTGTTTGATCCTCATTTTTTGGGTTATCTTGCTTATTGTATTAAACGTGTTGCACCGCTTGTAAATATTCTAAGCGAGGTTGACTTAGAAAAAATGCTAGCCATGATTTATATTTATGAGTTAATAGATTCAACAAAAGGAAAAAAAATGCTTTTATTTATGAGCATAATGAAAGGAAATATGGGCCTATTTGCGGGAAAATTAATGCAAAATGGGAAGTTCAACTCCATAAACCACGACATGCAGCTGGTTATTTTTTAAACCCTCAATTTCGCTTTGAGGATAATTTTTCTAATGATGATGAGGTAAAAAAATGGTTAATTGCTTGTACAAAGAGTGTTAGATTATGAAGATCGTTTTAGAGTTGATATTTGACTAGACTTGTATGATAACTTAAGAAGAGACTTTGGGAGTAGAGTTGCTAAGGACTCAAGAATATTAAGATCTCTTGTTGATTGATGGATTAAATTTGGTGAAAAAGCATCTTAGTTAATGAATTTTGCTATTCGAATTTTTAGCCCCTCATGCAATTCATCAATTTGTGAAAGAAGTTGGAGCATTTTTTATTCGGTAATAATTTTTTTATTTTTTAAATTTATTATTATTTGCTTTATAATCAGATCTTAAAAATATTATTTTTTGTCTTAGATTCATACTAAGAAGAGGAACAGGTTGGAGCACAAGAGTTTGAATGCTTTGATATATGTAAGATATAATACTAGATCGAGGGAGAGAAATATAAAATAAAACAAAACTTCAATCTAATATTGATAAGTGACTTAAACTGATGATGAGTGGATTGTTGAGAAAGAAGGTCCAGTGTTTTCACAGGAACCTTCTTGGATGAATGGAGACGAAAATGTATTTGATGTTAATATAATTTGAAATGTGCTCATAACTAAAGAAAATGAAGAATCACAAAATGTTACAGAAGAAAGAAATGATTTTTTTATTACATATTCTCACAGGAAAATGAAGATAAATAAAAGAACAAATTTCATATATATATATATATATATTTAATTCTTTTTTACATAATTATGCATTCTTAATTTCTTATAGAAAGAAAGATCCTAAATATTTACAAATGTCATTTTTTGTGTTTATAATTTAGGCAACAATGATAAGAAGAAATAAAATATGAATGCACCTGAGATTGAACATGATGATGGTTTTAATGAAGTGAACAATAAATGCAGAGAATATAAAAGACTTAGTTGTGATTTGATGATGAATTTGAAGAATGTATAAACTTCAAGGATTGAGATCAATTGATCGCAAATTTATTTTTTTACTCAAACGTGTTTACTTATTTTAATATGTTTTTACTTTTTGTGGTGAATTTTTGCTAATATCTTTAAGATTCTAATCATAGAAGACTAGTTTTGAAATTGAACAAGTATGTGTTATTTTAATCATAGGAATAATTTTTTGATTATGCATAAAAAAAATTATTTTTTTGTCTCTTAATATTTATATTTCTTATTTTTTTATATTGTGAGGTTTATACCCGATGCCTTACAGCTTACGCCTCGCCCCATAACTAAAACGTCCCGCTCAACATCCACACCTTTTAAAACATTGATCATAACTAAATTGTTTTCGTATTTGGCTGCTATTTTGAATGCTTTCAAATAAATTCTTCTTTTCAACTTTATTGTTCAGTTTTCTAGGTATGGCCAAGTTGTTTGGGTGCATTGTTAAATCAGAACTATTAAGAATTTTAAGAAGTTCATATTTTGAGCTCCTCAAGACATACAACTAAAATGTTAACCTATGGAATTGGAAAATTCCACAATCAACTCATTGCTTATTACTTGGTTGAGCTGTGAATGACACTGGTTGTATAACAGTAAAATTTTATTGTTTGAATCAGGTCACAGTCACAAAACTTCCCATGAGTAATGCTTTCCGAAGGGATTGGGCATATCTAAGTTCACGACAAGGGAAAACAAGATTTTTAAGTCAATGTCCTCTATGATGATTGTTAGAAGTTATACTAGAAAATAATTTATACCTATTCGAAATTATGATGATTATATTTTTTTCCTGATATAATTTATTTACTTTCCTATTTTAAATTTATTTTCTTAGATTGAATTTATTTGCTTTCCTATTTTAGACTTTTCCTATTTTATGTTGTTTTCCTTATCTCCAAATAATTAATATGAATTGATTAATTGGAGATTTTAGGTGTTATATCTTTTTTTTATGTTATTTTTTTATTGTCTTTTCTATTTTGGGATTCATGTAAGGATTATTTATACCCCATTTCATATCAATAGGCAATTTGCTTTATTATGAATTTCAATATGATATCAGAGCTTAATTTTGTACACTAGCCATTGGTCTTCCTTCCAAAGCAGCAAAACTCTCTTCCTGCCATCCTCTGTGCGAGAAAGGTGCAGTACTCGTTTTGGTAATTGAAACAATGCCTTTTGTTTCTCTCCCTGTAGGCTTGGCTTGTCGGCTAACCCCTTCCCGAGCTGGGAGTTTCGACTCTGCCGGTCTCTAGAAAGCAGGTGACAATATCCTAGCAGTGTTGCTTCCTGCTATTTTTTTTTCTCCCGTAGAGATCAGTTTCGTGGAGAATTTTCTGTTTTAGGCCGCCCTACAAATTTTTTCCCATAAAAAACTGTTGCATATTTGTCGTGTAGATCCATAATTGTCGGTTCCCTTAGCTGCCGACGTTTTTCACCCTAACTGTTGCCCATTCCCCTCTTCCCTACCGATCTTCTAAAGGTTGCTGCCGCTGATCCTTTCGTCAGGTAGTTCCAG